TAGGGGAGGCTGGGAATGTCAAGGGGGGCGGGGGGAAGGAGACATATGTAATACTCTTTGTAATACTTTATGCAATAAAACAAAATTTTTAAAAAAAACTCTAGCTAAAAATAGTTTGTAGTACATACCCCAGGAAAAATCTTACATTGGATTTAATATCAGAAAAAAAAAGTTAAATCCTTCGGGTAGATGAACTGATACACTTTATCAGAGAATTAAAGTTATGGTCCATTTTGCTGTCCCTTCCAGTAAGTTTAAATACGTTTAGTGGTCAAGTGTAATCAGCAACTAATCACAACTCTAGCTAAAAATAGTTTGTAGTACATACCCCAGGAAAAATCTTACATTGGATTTAATATCAGAAAAAAAAAGTTAAATCCTTCGGGTAGATGAACTGATACACTTTATCAGAGAATTAAAGTTATGGTCCATTTTGCTGTCCCTTCCAGTAAGTTTAAATACGTTTAGTGGTCAAGTGTAATCAGCAACTAATCACAGCTTAAAAACATCTCTTGGGTTTTTTTTACATGCTTTCTATTAGGTATTAAGTAAGTACTTCAAATTATTTACAAGTATTAAATGAATAAGTGACAAAGCTGTGTCCTTTAAACCATCTCCTCCCATATTTGCCACAGAGATAAGAGAAATAGGTATTTCTAGGTTACATAGCCAAAACCAGGACTTGGTTAGTTCAAAATTATTTTGATGACACCTGAAAATCAAAGATGTTTACCTGATCAAGCCCTTCCCCAGCTTTCCTAAGATTCTGTAGTTGGTAAATTTCTAGGTTTCTTCCATTATCTTGGCAGCACAAATCAATTACAACACAGTCCTGGTCCTCAAAAGCATTGATTTGATGAAAAGTAACAAAAGGTTTACTGTAGTACATCCCTGGAAGAAGCTGCAGGGAAAATGTAAACAATGAAAGAGACGTTTTCTTTTCTTTTCTTTTTTCTTTAGAGAACAGATGCACCAAGCTCGAATTAATATTTCTCCCTGTTTGTGACAGGCCATGTAGGTGCAAAAGGTAAAATTTGCAATGTAGAAGCAAATATGCTTTGATTTAACCATTGCTTGCTTAAGCCATCTCACCTCATATTAATCAACAAACTGGGGCTGTTTAATACAGACCAATTGACTTTACAACTAACTCCAGTGTTTTGATCCTGAACTCTACATGGTTAAATAGAAAACACTGCTGCCCTGGCTGGTGTGGCTCAGTTGTCTGGGCATCGTCCCGTGCACCAAAAGGTTGCCAGTTTGATTCCCAGTGAGGACACATGCCTAAGTTGCAGGCTCGATCCCAGGTAGGAAGCGGGCAGGAGGCAGTCAAATTGATTTTCTGCTCTCACATTGATGTTTCTCTCTCTCTTCCTCTCCCTTTCTCTCTCTCTAAAAATCAATAAAAACATTTTTTTAAAAAAAAAAAACACTGCTAGGTGAGGACATGTGTGGGGGTGTGAGAGTGGCTAGGGAGAGGTCAATGGGGAAAAAATGAGACATATGTAATACTATATGTAATACTTTAAGCAATAAAGAATTTTTTTAAAAGACATGGAAATAAAAAAAAGCACTGCTATTAAGTAACATGATAAATTTAAGTGGTTAATTCTTTGAAAAATGCATTCATTATTAACATGGAATTTTCATAATAAAATGACAGTACAGTAAATTTAGGATACTATCTCTTTAGAGAGGGGGAAAATAAACAGATATAATAGTGCTATTAATAGAAAGATATTAGACTTTAGTAGGACTATCATATTTGTGTACCAAGAAGTTGTAAAAGCAACTAATTAAAGTATCATTGCAAAAGTTACAGAGGAACTTTGCATGAACAATATCCTCTTTTGCAAATATGATATGGAAAAGTCCATGCTAAGAGGGTTTCTAGATGCCATTTTAATTAAATCAGATAATTTAAAGGATAAAGCCATTTCCTACAATGTTCTAATATGCTAAATCCACTGTGTTAATTAATAAGTAGCTAGTCCTACCTATGAAAGAAGGTACTATCCTTGATTAAGAGTCATGCAAGTAATGCCCAGTGAAAGTAAAAATCAAGCAAGTGGAAATGTGCCTTTGTTTCCAATCATTTTCATAATAAATATATTCAAAATACTCCACCTGTCCAGTGTGCTTATTCACCACATGAAACCGTGTGTTATACTGGGGCTCCCAGCTTATTCCATCTGAGAAGGCCTTTCCCCGAATTTTAGAAGTGACTATTTTCCACAGATTCATTTTTAGAGGTTGTTCAATGAAGATTATGTAGTTCTTCGTCATTCCTAAAAGGTTCCAGCAAACATTAAAGTGTTATTTGGTAAACTAGAGTTGTCTGCAACATGACAGTTAAGGGAACATGTCTGAATGCTGGCACACATGACTGCTGACCCAGACAAAGGCGGGCCAAAAGTAATTCTTCCCTGTTTCCCAGCTTTGTTACACAGATTTCCTGTTCCTACTTTAAAAAAGGAAGTGCTTAGAATAGTTTGGTTGAGTGCACTATATTCACTTTTTCTCTTTTTTTAAAAATTGTTGTGGTTTAAGAACAAGTAAAGGAGCATAATATGAAAGTGTGATTTATGATCTGAACCTTTATTCCATAATCCTTTTGCTATTTATACCAGGGGTAAGGACCCAAGAGCAGATTGTCTATAAATGTTTAGAATACAGAAGATAAATCTTCTGAGAAAAAGCTAAAGCAATCTATATAGAATATGAATTTCCCCCAAAAATATAGTCAAGACCTTTATTTGTGGTCTTTAAAGTTATCTAAAATTTTGAATCCTGTCAATTAATTTTTTATGGTCAAATGTTTTTTTAAATTAAGACTTCAACTTTTTACAACAGTTTTAGGTTCGGAATAAAACTGAGGGAAAAGTACAGAGATTTCCCTATATACCTCTTGTCCCCCACACATGCATAGCCTCTGCATTATCGACATCCCCCACCAGAGTAGTACATTTCTTATAATTGACTAGAGACCCAATGCACGAAATTCATGCAAGAGTAGGCCTTCCATCCCTTGGCTGCCAGCACTGGCTTCCCTCTGGCACCCAGGACTCGGGCTTCCCTCGAAGCCCTGGCTTCATCCAGAGGATGACTGGTCTAATTAGCATATTATGTTTTTATTATTATAAATGAACCTACATTGACTCATCATAATCACCCAAAGTTCATTGTTTACATTATGGTTCCCTCTTGATGTTGTCAATTAATTTTTTAGTGATTGCTTGTACTAAAACAACTATCCTTTCAAGCAGTCAGTTGGTTAGGGAAA